ACACACACACACACGCACGCACACACGCAAACAAACGCACACACACAAACACACACACAAACAACACACACACACAAACAAGCACACACACAAACACACACACAAACAAACACACAGACACGAACAACACACACACACGCGCACACACACGCACACACGCACACACAAACAAAAACACAAAAACAAACAAACAAACACCAACACACAAACACACACTCACGCACACACACACACACACACGCTGACACAAACAAACACACACACACACAACCAAACTCACACAAACAACCACACACAACCAAACACGCACACAAACAAACACACACAAACCAACACACACACACACAAGCAACCACACACAAACAAACAAACACACACAAACAAACACACACACACACACGGGGGGCCATCTTGCCGCACTTGGGCGCGAACTTGGAGCCCCAGGCAGTGGGGCCGGCCCCGGGCACCCTCCATTCGGGGGGCCGCTCGCCCCAGTCTCCCTCTTACATAGATGCGGTGTGTCGGGCCTCCGTGCGATGGACGTGCAGCGGAACGAACACGCAGCGGTGCCGCCATTCAGCGCTGCATCATTGCTGCGGTGCTTCCCCTTGCGCGTGTGTGGTGACGGACGTGGGGCTGGATATGGACATGGAGCATGTTCCAGGTCAGGCGGATCAACTGGCACTGCCAAACCATCTGCAATCCAACATTCCCAATTCGCAACCGTCATGCGCAGCACAACAGTCCTTGTTCTGCACAAACATGTCCACTCGGTCCAGACTCCCCGACACGTACGCGTGTAGCAGCAGCGGCTTGCCCTCCTGCGTCGAAGTCTGAATCGACTCGCCCGTCCCGGCCCCCGCATGAGCTCTCCTCTCTTCTCGCCCCACCCCCTTGCTCAAACGTCCGACGTCCTATTTGTTCACTCTGACGGGTTCTGGAGCTCTCGCCCCAATCTTTCTCGCAGTCTTCGCGCCGCGGGCTGTCTGTTCATCGGGAAGACGACGACGGCGACGACAACGCCGATGCAACCACAACGGCCTTTGCTAATCTTCCTCTTGCATGCCTTTTTTGCAGCCATCTCCGAGCCCCAACCCCCAAGGATGCCGTCTTGCGACGGAGGCAGTAAAGTAATGGATGAAACGCTGGAGACCGAGGCTGACGAGTAGTACTGAAATGTTGATTTGCAGACGGAGGCTGTGGAATACCATGTGGCATGCCGAGGCGGGCGGTTCGGGCGGCGGGCTGGCTTTTCGGGCGGCGGCGGCGGGCGGGCCCGGCTCTCGAACGCGACTCCCGAGGATGCCGGCTTGCAGCGGAGGCTTCGGACTGTGGTGCTTTGGAGACAGAGGCTGTGGAGTCCTGGGTGCTGCGTTGCAGAGGGAGGTAGCGAAGCACCTTGCGCTGTGCTGCAGGAGTGAGCAGGGCGGACGAAGGGCGCGGGTGGGCTCTGTTTTTCCTTCCTATTTACAATGTCAACTCCTGAGGATGCAATCCGACAACGGAGGCTGCAGAGAAATGGGTGGTGTGCCGGGGAAGTGGAGCACCGTGTGTTGCCACTCAGCCGCGGGCAGGGCGGGCGGCGGGTTGGCGGGCGGGCTCGGGGTGTTCATGCAACAGCGAAGGCTGCCGTCTTGCAAGGTAGGATTTGGAGTAATGGGTGGTGCGCTGGAGACGGAGGCTGTCGAATGCTGGGTGTTGTGTTGGAGACGGAGCCTATGCAATTCTCGAGGTTGCGTGCAGACGGAGGCAGTGGAGCACCGCGTGCTGTGATGCAGGGGCGGGCAAGGCGGGCGGCGGGCGGGCTCGGAACTCGAAGGCAACTCCTGAGGATGCCGTCCGTCTCGCAGCGGAGACAGCGGGGCGACGGGTGGTGTGCTGGTGATGGGGACTGTCGAGTACTCCGTGCTGCATTGGGGACTGAGGCCGTGCAGTACTGGGGTGTTGCGTTGCAGACGGACGTACAGAAGCACCGTGTGCTGTGATGCAGAGGCGGGCAGGGGGGGCGGAGGGCGGGGGCGGCGGGCGGGGTCCAGCGGGCGGCGGCGGCGGCGGGCGTCGGGCGGGCTCAGGCTTGCAACTGCAACTCCTGAGGACGTCGTCTTGCGACGGGCCCACTGCACGGGTTCAACACTCTAACCTCCCCTGCAAGGGTGTTCTTAGGACAACCCTCTTGCAGAAAGCTAAACCTCCCTAGCCTCCCCAACACTCGGGTTTTCACTGGACAGCCGTCGCACCCCCCTTCGGAAGGGGGGGGTGCAGGATGGTTCCAAGTGATTCCCCAAGTAGGCTTGCCTAATAGGTTCTTACTTGGTTACAAGTTGGTGGCCCCTACCCCTACTGTTCCTTTGCCCGTTGCTCAGAGGTTCCTCGGGTTCCTCGGGTTCCTCGCCCCCCGTGCTTCCTATTCTCTGAGTAAGCTTGCCTAAGGGGTTCTTACTTCCCCAACACTGAATTTGTCTAAGGGGGCTTTACTTGGTTAAGATTTGGTGTTTCCTATTGTTACTTTGCCCGTTGCTCGGAAGCATCTCGGGTTCGCAATGACAAGCGATGCCAAGCACTGCGCCCATGCAATAGGAAGCTTTCCCCCAATTGCGGTCGCGCCGGGTTCACTTTGTTAGGGCGGGGTGGTGGTCCAAGAAAAGCCACCGTCAAGGGGGTTGAGCCGGGGCAAGGGATGGTTTCTCAAGAAGTTCGCCCGCAGGGGGTTTACGGCGGCCCTTTACCTTACCCATGAAAAAATTATCTACACCCATCTGCAAAGCGTTTTTTCTTAGGACTCACCTCATTGAACAACCTCAATCGCTCCTGCGGGGGTGCTTTCCACAGAAAGCGTCCATGAAAGAGGGCTGAGGGGTCGAACACCCTTGTATGACCTTTTTCACAAGGAAACCCCTCTGCAGGGGGGCGGTGGAGATGAACTTCACTGCAGAGGGGGGGATCTTAAGAACACCCCCCCTGCTGGGGAGGGTTAGGGGGTTCAACCCCCTGCAGGGGGGAGATAAGAACCTCCCTGCAAAGTAGGCGTAGGGGGCTTCAACCCAACACCTCCCTGCAAAGGGGCTTGGCGGGTTGAGCCGTCTCTGCAAGGCTTGTTCCAAAAGAAACCAAACTGCAGGCTAGGGGGGGAACCACCCTCTGAATGAAGTGTTTTCCTAAGGAAAACCACCTGCAGGAGGGCTCAGGAGTTTAAGCCCCTCTGTCGATCCCTTGTGCGGAAAGAGTTCGGAGAGCTGTACGGGTTAGGCAGCCAGAGTGGCGAGGGCAGAACTCAAAGCAAAGCTCAAGACTGCGCAGCTCGAGAAGGAATCTGCAATATTACATTTAGTAGACCGTCGCATCCTCATTAGCCAGCTTCGCAATTCCAGAACGTTGGGCCTGATAACAAGACGTATTGATGCGTGGCTTGGCACTGCAAATACGATGTTGCAGCGACCCCTCGTTCATTTGCCCCGAAGCAAGGAAACGAAGGCGGAGACCGAGGATACGCTCCATATTCCTGAGTACCAGCCGAACAGAGCAATGTGGAGATAACAGTGGGCTTTACAACTACAAGAGACCTGATGGGCCCCTACGGCGACTAAGGGATCAACGAACGTTTCCTTGTCGGTTCAGCGCCCCACAACCTCGAACAAGCGGGCTCGAGAACCTCCAACTGGAACACATGCTACTGACACACACGCGTTCCGCTTCCTCTTTCAGTCCCATGAATGCACTAAACTCTACGCACCCTCTCTCACGGGTGCTCCGCGAGTATGGATCAAAATACGAAGCGCTGGGCGTTCTGCCCTAGGGACGGAGTGGAGAGATCCAGGTGCTCGCATCGTGAGAAGATCACGACGTCGGATGTCAGCGGCGGTAGGCGGGCCAGAACGGACCAGCGCGAGTGCCAATAACAATCTCGTACTTTCAAACTGCTGGGTGGAGAAACTGAATAGAGAAGCGAGCAAATAGCAATGATAGCAACCATGAAGCAATACAACAATGTGTAAAGGACAACTCATGGTGCTCATGGTGAATATAAGTTTCTGTACGAGGAAACCTGCTGCTACGAGCCTGAGCGAGCGGTACACTGACGCATCAGACTGATCTGTAAGCCTGTCACGAGCATGTATGGTATTGGGTATACTTGTGTGAAGCACGAACTAATTGCACGACTGCAGCAAATCCAGAGACTATCTTTTATCCAGCCTGAACGCTTTCGTGTCTGCGCTGACCTTGCATGCCGCAACACTTATTACGTCCGGCTGCGAAGACTCCGCCCTTCACATAGGACGAAGCACATTCATGTGATTATTCATGCAATGGCCGATGCCGTGCCCCCCTAATGCAGGAATACAGAAGGGGCAAGAACAGACGCATGCCCCTGGATACCATCAACCTGTGCCACCAGATCGCTCAAAGTACGCGTCCACATAACACCCTTGCGGAAGAAGACCCTAAGCAGCTTTACGCTGTTCTGATGGGTGGCCACGATGGGGGGGATCGGGATAGGGATAGGGACAGGGATACAGGGCTAACGATATGCGGATAAGGGTCTAGGGGTAGGGACGGGGATAGGGATACAGGATTGGAACACAAAGCGAAATAGGGACAGACTTAGGGATGTGGATGGAGAAAGAAGGATGGAGATGGGGATGCAGATAGGGATACACAACAAGACACAGGGGGGGGACAGCGGGCGACAACGGCAGACAACGGGACATACAACGGGAGGCACTGGAACACACCGGGAGACCACGGGAGACGACGCCGCCCGACCGACTCCGGATCCGGCGGTCCGCCGACGAAATCCTTCATGCGTATGTGTACTTCTGGGGGCGATCTCGGAAACGCTGAACCCAAAAACATTTTCATCGCTTGGGGGGCACATCTTTCACTCCCGCCCGCCTTCCGCCGCCCCTCCGCCGGCTTCCGCCGGCCTTCGCCGGCAGGGGCGGCCTAGTTTTACTTCCGCCGAGCTTCCACCGCCCTTTCGCCGCGGAAGAAATCACAACTCCTTCGCTCCTCGGAGGCAAGGCCTTTTTTGAAACGCCCCATGTAGAACCTTCACACACACAAGCTGCTTGGGGGATGGTCGCGAACATAAGGCAACGGTGCTCCCTGATATGCAGTCCAACGGTACCCAATAAGCTCCTTTGAACATGCTCATGAGCGGAGATGGAACTGAGAGGAACAGCTGGCGCCAGGCGGATTCCAAATGCACTCTGTACAAACAATGGCCAGCCACATACGCACGCGGACCACATATTCGACGAGCATTCAATTTGCGGGTTGCAGCTTGGGTGGATAAATGCAGAGGGGTGACTGAGAAGGAGGAATCGGAGGTAGAGAAGAACATGGTGGAGGACATGAAGTGAAGCCAATGGTCGCCCGTCAGCGGCTATAAATTAGGCGGTTGCGCAGATAAAGCCTGCCTCGCTCAGTAGTCCACATCACCGCTCGGTCTGCATGGCCTGATGGAGTGGTGACAAGATTAATCCCATGTTCGCGCTGTCTTATCGGTTCAGCCGGCTCCATTCCCCAGCGCATCGCGATCGGACCTCACAGCCTGAGCTGGTTTTCAAAATGACCACTCGTGGAAGGGCTGAGGAGGATGCCCTGAAGACGCACGGCCACGGAGCCAAGAGACATACAGAGACGTCCCTGGAGATTGCATGGCGCGCCCGTGCGGAAACCGTTCCTGCCGACCGCGTGCGTTTGACAACGGCAAGGATCTGATCCCAGCCGTGGGGCGTTCTACAGTGGAGACCCATGCCAAGAAACACCCTGCTTGCCTCCTGGGTGCCCTGGGTTTCTTGGGTTTCGATGGTTCTGCTGTGGGAAGCGTGACGTTCCCACGCCAACAATCCATGGACGTCCTGGGGTCTCAGGGTTGGGTTTCTTGTGGAAGGTTTCTTGTGGTCGGGCCTCCGCTGTACTGGCAACTTGCTCAGTACATGCCCGCCGGCCCGTGCCCGAGAGCGACAAGGCGTGTGAGGGCCACCCGGCTCCCCGCATTCTTCTCCGCAGCTGCGGGGGTGCGACGCCTCGCCTCGCCGCTCCGTGGGAGGCTCCCCGCCGTCCTTGGAGGTACCGTCATCTGGGCACCTGGGTCGTTCATGTGGTGTGCGCTCCTCCTCCTCCTCCTGCTCCTCCTCCTCCTCCTCCTCCTCCTCCTCCTCCTCCTCCTCCTCCCCCTTCTCTTCCTCCTCCTGCTCCTCCTCCCTCCCTCCCCCCTCATCCTTCTCCCCTTCCTCCTCCTCCTCCTCCTCCTCCTCCTCCTCCTCCTCCTTCTCCTCCTCCTCCTCCCTGGAGATACAAGATCCTGTTTGAGAAGGGCGGGGGGGCACTCTGAGTTCGTCGAGGCCCCCTGCTACACATGCCCAAGATGGCCTCGAATACTGTCCTGGGAGGCCATGCAGATACGCAAGGCATCTTTAATAACTCAGGAGGCCCCAAGAGGCCCAAGATAGAACCAGCTGGTCCATGCGGATTGTTTCCCCAACCAGTGCTTACACTTGGGGGGTTTTACTTGGCATCGTTCAAATAATTGGCAGGTAGATCGGGTTTTCGCCAGGTTGCGGCCATTGCCCCCTCGTGGGCGCCTCGTGAGCGCCGTGTCGGCGCCACGCGCGTCGGGGGTATGGCGAGATTGCGCCACGTTGCCGCCTGTGCCGCCTCGTGGGTGCCCCGTGGGCGGGGGGGCCTGCCGTAGCTTACACGATCTAGCTTGCACCTCGTAGCTTACGCCCTGTCCGCCACCGTGCCTTGTGGCACGAGTTGGGATATCCTGAGGTCCCTTCGAAATCTCCATGTTGAATTCTGCAACTCTTCTTTAATAAGCTGGAGAAACAAATTTCCAAATCTTCTGGGTGCTCTTTTGAGCTCTCGGGGCCAGCCGCATGGATTTTCCAGAGTCCCAGAGTGCCCCTAAGACCAGCAAGGAAGGCCCCCAAAGGGCCCAAGATAGCCCAAAGACGGCCGAAGGTCCCCAAGAGGCCCCAAGAGGGCTCCAAGAGGCCCCCCAAGAGGGCCCAGGGATGCCCAAATCAGCGATGTTCCTCTGGCATTTGAGGGATGCTAGCGGTCTCGCAGTTTCGGGCATTCGACGCTCCAAGACGGCCCAAGAGGCCCCCAGGGGCCCAAGAGGCTTCCAAGAGCGCCCCAAGACGGCCCAGGATGGGCCATCTTGGGGCGAAGGGCTCGCTGTCCCGTCTTCGGCGCCGACATCGGAAAAAGCGGCGGCGGCCCTCTCCGCTCATGACAAGGAGGAAACAAGACAAACGGGAGACATCAGGTCGAGGGAGAGCCAACGAGACAGACGGCCGTCGGCAAGAACGATGAGTGAGGTAGAGAGGGAGGGAGGGGTGAGGAGGGCCGTCAGAATTCCGGAGCGGGCATCCTGCGCCGAAGCCAAACGACCCCCTAAAGCACACAGAACAAAACATTGACGACGACGACGATTTACGACTACGACGACCGACGACGACCGCCCGCAAGGCGAGCGCCTGGAGAGAGGAGGGGAGCCCGACAGCCGCCGTCGCTCGGCGGCGGCAGGACGCGCAGACGGCGCCAGGACGCGGCGATCCTGCGCGCCCTCTGCGCTGCTCGGGCCAGAGGCGGACCGCCTCTTCCTGCCTCGGGCCCTCTGCGCCGCGGCTCCACCGGCGGCATATTGCCGCCAGCAGCTGCAGACCGTGGGCAAGACGCCGTCGTGCCCTTGCCGCTGCCGTGCGCCTGCCCGCCCTGGTGGCGGGGGCTCCCCGTGCGACGTCCACTGCTCTCCGCTCCCTCTCTCGTGCGGCGCGGCGGCGGCGGCGGCCGAGGAGGCCCCGGCACCGGGCACCGCGAGAAGGCCACGGCGGGCGGCTGCCCCGAGCCCGATCCCGAGGGGGGCCGGCCCCGGGCTGCGCGCCGCTCTCCCGCGGCGCCGCGGCGGGTGGCGGAGGAGGGGCGCGCGGACCAGCAGCGGGGGCCGTTCCGGGGACGTGCAGCGACATGCCTGCAGCAGGAGCTGCACGTCGTCGGGCAGCCCGGGGCTCCCCTGCTCAGGACCGCCTTGGGCGACGAGCAGGTCCAGGTGGAGACACGTCGTGGGACCTGCCCCGGCCCCCGCACTCGCCCGTGCTCTCGTCCTTGCCGGTGCCCTCGCCCAGTGGGCCCTCAAGATGCAGATCTGCGCGTGGCACGGGTGCCCCCAGGTGGGCGAGACCCAACACCCTCGAGGGAAGCTGCGCCAGGATGCCCAGCGGCATGGGGCAGCAGCAGCAGCAGCAGCAGCAGCAGCAGCAACAGCAGCAGCCCTACCCCCCCCCAACCCGTGCGTGGCGCGGGGCGTGGCCGCGGCGCGCGGGCCGACCGCCGCAGAGGCCCGGAGCGCGGAGGGCGCGCAGCAGCGCGCGCCGCGCGCTCTGGCACGGGCGGTCCAAGCGCGGCGCTCGGCCACCACTGCGCCGCGGCCGCGCGGCCGCGTCACGCCATGGGGCACCACGGCAGCATGGTGGAAGAGGGGGCCGCGCCGGGCGGCGGGGGCGGCGGGGGAGGGGGGAGGGAGACAGGCCGAGCGGCCCCCTGGTGCGGGCTCGCCAGGGGGCCGCTGGCCACCAGAAGCGAGCCGGCGCCGCTGGGATGGGAGGAAGACGACATCGACGGCGGCAACGATGAGCAGGAGCTGCGGGCCCGCCGTAGCGGAGACTCGCGGGATAACATGTGAGGAGGGGCCAGGAGGGGAAGAGGAGGGTGGGTGGGGGGATTGAACAGAGGGGATTGGGGCGGAGGAAGAAAAAGGAGGGCGGAGGGGGTATGAGAGAGGAGGGATGCGGGAGGAGGGGACGAGAGACGAGCAGTGGGGGGGGGGGGGGGCGAAGACGAAGAGAAGGGCGAAGGGAGAGAAACAGGAAGGGATGGATGACCAGGGACGAACAACACGGGCAAGGCCCAGGGCCTAGGACTGCGTACAGACGGCCCCCAGAAGTTGCCCCAGCTGGCATCAACAGGCACCCAGGGTGGTCCAGGGCGGTCTCACCACTCCAGGACAGCCTCTGGAGGCCCCCTTAGGGCGGTCCCTGCCCTGGGGTTGGGATGTTGAGACCTCCACCTAGACTGCTCTGGGGGTCTGTCGAGGCGAGCCAAGACCACCGCGGAGTGCTGTCTGTGCGCAGCCCCGAACTCTTGCCAGACTAGGAGGCCTCCAGATAGGGACCCCTGCATGCGGGGCCCAAGGATTGCAGCGCCTCGCATTTGCACTGGCGATACACCAACAACGTTCGTTGAGATGGAGCAGATTTAGCTCCAGATCGCGCGCTATCTCCGACGCATCGGCGATTCGATTCGTTTTCTGGACCCCATATGGACTCTGGCCCTATGTGGGAGGCCTGGCAAAGCACCGCGGCACGTGCGGTGCGCTTTCAGGCCACCCAAGGCCTGGGGGTCTGCTGAGGCCAGCCAGACAACCTTCGACGGCTGTGCGCGCACAACCTGAAACCTTGTCAAACCTGGCGGCGCGCAACAGGCAGGGCCAGGCAATCAAAGCGTGTCTCAGAAGGGGCCACCTCCTTCGAAAATAGAGGCCCCGTCACACGTTCTGCGGGGCGTGCAGGAAGAGGACGAGGAGGAGTTACGGAATTACGGGTGTGGCGACTATGTCAGTCACTAAGAGAGCAGCTTGAACTGGAAGCTGCTGCTTGGTCTCCTTGGCTTCGTTACGAGGACGAGGACGAGCTCGTTCTCGTCCTCGTCCTCGTCCTCCTCCTCCTCCTCGGCCTTCTCGACCGCCACAAACATGGGCCTCCCAGAAAGGCCGCCCCCTGACCCTGGCCTGATTGCACGCCGCCGCCAGGCAGCGCGAACTCCGAGCGGTGGGCCCTCCCCCCCCGAGGGGGGTCCGGGCCTCGCCGACATCCGGTAGGCCCAGTCCGTGGCGGCCCCCGAGGCGCCGCTGCGTCCCGCGGCGCCCGCCGCGCCGGGCGGGCCCCCGGCCGCTGCGGGGGGCGGTCTCGCTGGCGTCGGCCTGCCGCTCCTGCGGCCGCCGGGACGGGAGACCAACGGTGGTGGCGCGCAGAGGAGGGTAGGGGGGAGGGGGGAGGGGGGTAGGGGGGACCAACGGGAGACCGGGGTAGGGGGGAGACCAAGGGGTAGGGAGACCAACGGGGTAGGGGGTAGGGGGAGGGGGGAAGCCTCCTCAGAACCCCCCCTGCTTCTCAGAAGGCGCGGGCCTCGTCTGCAGATGTAGAGCCGGCGCCTTCTGAGAAAAGGGCCTCCTTCTTTGAAGCCCCCCCTCCCCCACCCCCCCCCTTCTGCGAAGCCTTCCTCCCTCCCCCAATCCCTCCCCCCTCCTTCTGAGAAGCCTTCCCCCCCTCCCCCTACCTCCCCTTCTGCGCGTGGCCGACAGCGAGCCAGAGCGACGATTGGAGGCACGGTCGGCCGCAGAGACCCGGGGCCACACTGGCGGGCCAGGGTCTGCGCCAGAGGCCGTGCCAGCTTCGCGCGCACGCGGGTGGCGGCAACGTCGGGCCACGCTGCCGAAAACAATGCGCAAAGAACGCTGAGCCAAGGTGGAAATGGGAGGCGTCTTGTCGACCAGCGAGAGGCGTCTTGCCGACCAGCGGGAGGCGTCTTGCCGACCAGCGGGAGCCGTCTTGCAGACCGGCGCGACTGCTCCGATCCCAGATGTCCAACGTCGCCAAACGCAAGCACGACTGTCGCTTTTGTGTTGATGGCTCTGGGCCTCCGAGGCCGCGAACAAAAAACACGCAAGAGCCCAACATTTCCTGGACCAGGAGAGAGAGTGTGTGTGAGAGAGAGAGAGAGAGAGACAGAAGGAGAGAAAGAGAGAGAGAGAGAGACAGAGACACTGACACAAAGAGAAACAGAGAGAGCGAGGGAGATAACAAGAGAGAGAAAGAGAGAGACAGAGGGAGCGAATGACAGAGATAGACAACGACAGAGCAAGAGAGAGAAACTTACAGATAACAACCACATATCTAATTATATACATATATATATATATATATAGCAGTGGATTGTCAGAAAAAAACAGAACAACAAAACGAACCAACAAACAAACAGGCGAGAAAGAGGGGATGTTTCTGTCGCGAGCGCCTCGGTCGATGGAAATATCGAATCATTCGCGGGGGCTCGCGCCTCACCGCACCAATTTGGGGAATGCTGGAGTTGATGAGTTCCGGGGCGCGGGCGCGCTGGAGGCCCCGGGATCGGGACACAAAATCCAAAATCATTGACGACTTCTGGTTTGTGACTGATTTTCCGCACTCGCTTTTTGGGGTTCTGGGGCGTCCTACGCGGGCCCCGAAGGCCCGCCTGAGAGGTCCTCCGAAACCTACACGAAAAAACTGCAGTCAGTGGGGCGTTGCTGATATATGACGCGCGGAAGCTTACGCGTACACTTCGTGTATATAACGGGGGAAGCTTCCAGCTTTGACCGCGGCTGCATCCGAAGCCTTTGCCAGGGCGATGCGCGAGCGCAACGATGGCAGCCCTGGCCGCCGCGACACACCCCCTTCACCCGCCCATCAAGCAATTGCTGCGACAGCTGGGTTCCCGCATGAGAATCTCATTCTCGAAGATAATCGTCATCTTCGTCTGTGTGATTGTGGCCCTCCCTCTTGTCTACTCCTCCCCTTGCTTCACTTCCTTCTCCTATATACTTCACCCCCCCCGTCCCTTCCCTCCCCGGGGGGGGGATCCATTCTCCCGGGCGCCATCGCCGCCTCGAACGGCAGAAGCGCGTTCGTCGATAATCGCGAAGCCTCTGGGGCGACCGCGCGGCCGACAGGCCTCTGGCGCACGGCGGCGAAACGCAGACATAACCCCGCTGGGCTCGAGAAGGGCGCCGCCACGCTCGGGTGGGAAGCAGCGCTGACCCAGCTCTGCCGCGAGCTGCCCCACCTGTGTCCTAGACGTCTGCATGTTTTCGTCAAACGGCCGCAACGCTTCCCGCCGGGGCGCTGGCGGCCCGCGTTTCCGGAACTCGCGCGATGGCCGCCGCGGGACCATCACGGTCCGCATTCGCGTGACGCGGGAGGGCATGACGTAGAGATGCAGCCACCACTGGTCGTCCGACATGCCCGTGCGGCCGGCGCGCTCTTCCCTGGGGCGGTCGATGGTGACGTCCTGGCGCAGCGTTTGGCCCTGCGACAGCGTGGGGGCGAAAGGGGGCGGGTGAGCCAAGGTGACCCCGAGCGGCGCATGGCGCGCGGTCCGGAACTCTGCCATGTCAACTCCTGTCCGCTGGTCCTGGGCATGAGCAAGCTCGGCGCCCGCGCCTCGGCCTGGCCGTCTCCGCCAGCGCGTCCGCCGCCCTGCAGCAACAACTCGGCGACCTCCTGCCAGATCCGAGAACCCTGGGAACAGCGCACCTGCAGCCAGATGCTCTGCAGTAGGGACCGCGGGGGAAGAGCTGCCAGGGGCGCGCATCCCTGGCATCGTTGCCCGCCCTCGGGACGGAGGGCCCTCCAGGAGGGCCAACCGTTCGAGACACCCTCGCACCTCATTCGCAGATGAAACCCACGCTCGAAATCTAGGAGGGGGATGGACTAGTTTAAGGTCGTCGATTAATCTTAAACTCAATAATCATGCGTACTCGTACTGTTGTAATTGTTATGATTAATCATACTATTTTGTTCGTACTATTCTCATCAGTCATGTTCTTATTCGTCTTACTATGTGTATTACAATTAGTATTGGTAGTGCTACTCATTTTGCTACCAGCGTTATCATTAATATTAATGTTGTTGGTGTCAATGCGGTTATTCGTACTATCAACATTACTATTGTTGTCGCTATTCAAACTTTCAAATAGTTATTCGTAGCAACGGCAACGTGATCAATAGTATCATTATTATTGATATTGGCCTGCGCCCCTGCAGACCCTAATTGAATCAAACTTTATTTTGCAACTTCGCACGCGAATTTGTCTAAAAATCTTGTCTCGGCGCATGATTCCCGGGAACCGGTCGCCAATGGAACCCACCCTCCCCCATGGCCTCAGCCTGGAAGTGGCGTCTCTTGATCCCTGTGCGCCGCTCACCACGGGGACCCACCCTCCCCCGTGGCCTCAAACTGGAAATGGCGTCTCTTGATCCCTGGGCGCCACTCGCCACGGAAACCCACCCTCCCCCGTGGCCTCAGCCTGGAAATGGCGTCTCTTGCTTCCAGGGCCACTACGCCGATGGCACCCTGGAATAGCAACGTGAAGTGGCGCCTTATGAGGGGTGGCCCTCGAGACTTCTTCTAATATACTTGCAAACGAACCCACCGCTCGAGACATCCCCACGATTTGCCCCCCCCCCTCGTGGCGGTCAAATGCAATGCCTGGCATGCCGAATACTGGACTAGGAACGCGAAGCGGGCGCCTTGCAGGAGGCGTCGCCCGCTCGAGAATTTAACCCGCAGGCTCCCGCCCGAAAAAAACGCACGATTTGCCCCGTCGGGGTGCTCAAGTGCAATGCCTGACGCAGGATGCCGATGAAGGCTTCGGGCTGAAAAGAATGAGGCGGGTGCCCTATGGGCCTGTAGGAAAGGGGCCGGCTCGAGACTCCTCGCAATTCACCCACAAAGCGGGACTCCCGCTTCAGAAATCCTTACGATTTGCCGCCTTGAGGTGCTCAAGTGCAGCGCCTGGTGCAATGTGCCGAAGACCGCCCCCGACGAGCAACGTGAAATGGGCGCCTAAAAGGAAGGAGGGGTCTCACGCTCGAGCCCCGATTGGGTTTGCTTGTGCCTTAAAGGTCTCTATTGGTGCGTCTCCTCCAACTACGAATTTCCCACTGGCCATCTTGCCAATTGCCGTGCGGAGCTCCGCGGTGGTGAGCGGTGATTCGTGAACCAACACAAGCGGATGATTTGGGACGTCGTTGTCAGGGGCAACCGCCACAGGCCGGACCCTCCGCTGCACCAACTCCACAAAGTCCGCACAGGTTTCTGTCCGGTCTTCGGTGCCAGCTCTCCTGCCGTCGACGGCGTTCAGGCACGCCTGTAACATCCCCTGTCCCTGGCGAAGTTTTTGGATCGATCCCGAACTCCCAACGGCGGCAATTTCGCATCCGCGCTGCGCGATCTCCGCGGGCAGACCGTTTGAGTTCCTTCGCTAGGACTCTCGGTCGTTTACCTCCGCCTTGTCGCCCAGGGGACCTTTGGTCGATCACATGGGAATGTATCCGTTGATCCACCGCCGGCGTCGGCCTTTGGCTTGCGAGGGGAATCCGTTCTTCGATGACTCGGCAGATGCTGCGGTGTAGTGGCCCCCAGGCGTCTGCCGTTTCCCTGGTCGAAGGGCCTTCGAGTTCGTAGGTGTGTGCCCAGACGTTGCGCAGGAAAGCTGTTTGCACATGCTTGCGCCGCAGATCTTTCTAGTCGCGTCTTGGTCGGAGTAGAGGTCGGTGGCCCCTGCAATGCTGAGTTCGGATCTGAACTAAGACTGGAAAGCGATTCCCCGAACAGTGCTTGCACTTAGGGGCTTTTACCTCTATTATAAGCAATTTGGCCAGTGCGTCGCTCTGGCGGCTGTTGTGGCCGTCGCCGCCCCGTCGCCGCCTCGTGGTCGCCACTGTGGCGGCTATGCTGCCTTCGTCGCCGCCCCGTCGCCGCCCGTCGTCTGGGCCTTGTTGTGAATTGCGGTGCCTTGTTTGCATTGTTTTGCATTGCTGCGCATTGCACCACACACATATAGAAATTTATTGCACCACGAAGTTTGCACCACATGTTTTGCACAGGTTTAGCTGCACCGCAAAAACTGTGCAATGTATATTCATGTGTATGTGTATATATATAGATATATACAGATGGATCGCACAACATAACTTGCACAATCCATATTGCGCAACATATATTGAACCACGCAAATATCACAACATAGTTCGCACAACATCTGTTGCTCCTCATATATTGTAAAGCGCGGTTGGACCACGTAGATTGACCACCTATACGGTTTGGGCATTTTTTATCTCTGTAGGCCCTGCGCGCGCGCAGGGGGTTCATGCATGCATTCAGGAAGAGGGG